AATTTTGTTTTTATTTTTCATTTTCATGAAATTATGTAGCACCTTGAATCAATTTCTGTTTCTGTCACTCATCTCATGCATTGTTTATTTTGAATATTGGTTGACTTTTAACTGACCAGTGACAAGATTTTCTATGAAATTATTTGTCAAAACTATTCACTCTTAACAGTATTGTTGCGACATGCATATTTATATTTGGTTACAGTTGACCATGGAGATTTTAACTTGTGAATATTAAGAAGGGCAATACTGATGTACAGTAATATTATATTTACTTCTGAAAGCAGAATATTACGTAGATTCAAGGTAGTTGTATTTTTAAGCTCAGAATCGTTTTGTATGTCTTACATTGGCACTGATTTGTCATTACCTGATGACTTGTATTCTGAATAAAGCTACTACGTATATGCCTATATTTACAATGAGTTTGATATGTGTCACTCCATTTTATCAGTTAACTAAGTGTGGTTGAGCTTTGTTCTTTAATGCATATGATATTAAAATAATACAATACATTCCTTCGATGATAAGAATTGTGGTGGCACTTTTCAATCAATTAAAATAAAGACATTAATGGTCTTCGTACATATATGCCCATGTAAGGATCATTTATGGTTTCCGTAGTCTACACTACGTAAACTACACTGACACTTGATCTTAATGTATTGAGCCTTGCACTGATCAGCATAAATCACATCATTAGAACTGCTGAAGAAGACAACCTTTCAATAAATGCCTTTTGTCAGGAGTTTAGCAAAAATCGCATTTTTGTCATACACATGTTAATGGAAGCTATGAAATACCATGACATACATCAAGTACTACAGCTACGACACCTTTGGACCACATCTGTAGTCTAGTGGAAAGAACGTGACCCCGGAGAGAGGAAGGTCGGTTGTTAGATTACCGGAAGACGTTAAAAAATGTTACTTGTTACACTGCATCACTGCTGCGGACTGAACTGAGTTCACACACACACACGCACTCGCACGCACGCACACACACACACACACACACACACACACACACACACACACACGTCACTTATCTTGAACGTGACGTTGAACCCCATTTCACATCACCTCACTCTCCCTCTCCTCTACTACCCCACCCTGGGCAAGTATGAATTAGGATGTTGATATTTTACGGGGCACGGTTTGCGCAGTTTCCGCAATTCGATGTGCAAAGTGATGCTGTGATGTCTAGTTAGATGATCGTTGGTTAGAATCCTATATCAGGCCTAAAATGTAATATGTTGGGTTGAGCACCGCTTGGAACAGTATTTCAGTTTAAAGTGGTAGGAAATTATATATATATTACAGTTTAATGTGGTAGGAAATTATAATTATAATACAATTGTAACACAATATTCAATATTCAGTGTTTGATGTTTCGCTGTGTCACACATTCCTTTCCGTGTTCGTGTTTCCTATTGGGCGAACATAATATGAAGGGCATGAAGCGGAAGTCCGTGAAACATGTCGCTGAGTCACAGGTCCGTCAAATGTGTCAGGGGTTCACAAAGCATTATGTTGCTGTTTAACAAAGAGAGTGAGTGAGTGTGGTTTTACGCCGCATTTAGCAATATTCCAGCAATATCACGGCGGGGGACACCAAATGGGCTTCACACATTGTACGAGTGTCGGGAATCGAACCTGGGTCTTCGGCGTGACGAGCGAACGCTTTAACCACTAGGCTACCCGACCGCCCTTTAAACAAAGAGAAGTGTGATATGTTCCGACAACAATACACACGACATGCAATTCAATCTTGTGCTCAGTTGTTTCACCCTGATCGGCCGTTAGGTCAACCGTGTTATTCATGTAGAGCTATGTTGTCTTCAGGTCTACAATGAATTTGGAACTAAACGTGTAGTATGTATTTTTGTATCACAGCGGAATTTTTTCGCATTCAGAAAACACCGACGATAGCCATTTAGCAAAGAGTGCTGCAAGGCTTTGTTCTAATATGATGACGTCACGAGGCTCATTGTGATACAATTTGTAATACGTTTATTGACGGAATTGACAGGTCTAGTTCACAAAACTTGTTACATGTACACATTAGCATGAAGGTAATCTTCTACACTCCTCACGGTACAACATGCACAGATGTCGTTCCATAAGATTTACTTTTATAGAACATGAGGTCATTGTATCCTGATCGGAACTGACAATGATTCATTACACATGCTCATCATATAATCGGAATCTTACAATCGATTGGGCTCTTGACAGAGGTTTCTTATAAATATGGAATGGGTACCGGTTTGGTCGCTTTTATTTATTCCCTGATTGGTCTATTAAACTCTAAATATGTTCTCTCAGTTGACTTCCATGCCATACGAGCTTTTGTTATGCATATGAATCAGAATTTCTGCTCGGATTGGCAAAGGTAATTTGGCCAAGAAATATAACTTAAGCTCCCAGTATACGATAATCTGATATCGTTCAATGACGGCCAAAAAGCCAATCCCTTTCTACTGATGTACCCACCTGAAGAAGAAATACAAGAGACCTCTGAAACCGCTTCATTTGTTTCACATTTAGATCTATGCATGAAGAATCAGAGTGACAAAAACCCACATGACTGTATGACAAGAGGGATGACTTCAACTTTAAAGTAGTCAACTTTTCCTTCATGTCGAGCAATAATTAAGGATCTCCAGTCTGCGGAAATAACATTTCACAGAACGTCATACGACTCTTGCTCAAAAAGGTTACACCTGTGCTACCGGTGGCAGAATACGCTCACCTTTCGTATCATCACTATTTCATAGTGATTCATAAACACGTGCTCATTACATGCTCGTACAATCAAAGGGTTTTGATTCTTGTCTTTTTATTGAATAAGAGTAACCATCTTTGTTGTTACAACTCTGCATTTTGTAACATACATGTACAACTGAAACATCCTTATTTAAACAAAACAAAAACAATTGCTAAAGAAAACTCTTCTATGAATAATGCCTCGCGGTGAGGCACTTGTCAAATGATCTCTTCAAACAGAAATGTTTATTGTGATTTTAAAAAACACATACAATTGGAATCAAGCATTTGCCAATTTTTCAAAGTCATGGTGCCATTTAGGTTAAATGTTGCTTTATAAAGTATATGAGTTATTAAAATGAAATTATTTTTATGTATCAGCTCAATGGTAGAGGCGCAGGCCCAAAGTAACACATATCGTGTTGACATGTTATCCTTAATTCAAACAGGAAATGTTGGCCGGTCAGGGCTGCCTACGCTTAGCGGTTAAATACGTTCCTCATCAGGAGTACATTTTGAAGCAGGAGACAACTATAATACGGTTTTTCGTGATAATAGTGGTGATAGTGAGTAAGTGAGTGAGTATGGTTTTACGCCGCTTTTAGCAATATTCCACTTCACGTCGGGGGACATCAGAAATGGGCTTCACACATTGTACGCATCTCATGAATCGAACCCGGGTCTTTGGCGTGACGAGCGAACGCTTTAACCACTAAGCTACCCGACCGCCCCAATAGTTGTAATAAGTACTCAAGTACATAATCATGAAAATAACAAGTGTAAACTATATATTTAAATGGCCTACAGACTGATCTTCTACATTGTTCTCAAACTTCCATACAGCTATTACGTTGAGTTCAATGCCGCTTATAATAGTAATCACTACCATTTTTAAATTCTTAGAACATCAAAGATATAAGAGAGGTCATAGTTATGATTATTTAACTGTTGAATTGTGATTATCAATACAAAAAACGTATAGACGTATGCTTATGATATAGACAGAATCTTGCAAGGGAATATCAAAGATAAAGAAGAGGTATGAAAAATGATTATTTCACCATTTGATAGTGATTCCTAATATAAAAAAAACCGCACAGACGTATGCTTATGATATGGACGGAATCTTACAAGGGAATATCAAAGATTAAGAAGAGGTATGAAAAATGATTATTTCACCATTTGATAGTGATTCCTAATAAAAAGAACGTATAGACGTATGCTTATGATATAGACAGAATCTTACAAGGGAATATCAAAGATAAAGAAGAGGTATGAAAAATGATTATTTCACCATTTGATAGTGATTCCTAATAAAAAGAACGTATAGACGTATGCTTATGATATAGTCCATAATCTTACAAGGGAATATCAAAGATAAAGAAGAGATATGAAAAATGATTATTTCACCATTTGATAGTGATTCCTAATAAAAAAGAACGTATAGACGTATGCTTATGATATAGACAGAATCTTACAAGGGAATATCAAAGATAAAGAAGAGGTATGAAAATGATTATTTCACCATTTGATAGTGATTCCTAATAAAAAAGAACGTATAGACGTATGCTTATGATATAGTCCATAATCTTACAAGGGAATATCAAAGATAAAGAAGAGGTATGAAAAATGATAATTTCACCACTTGATAGTGATTCCTAATAAAAAGAACGTATAGACGTATGCTTATGATATAGACGGAATCGTTCAATGGTACAATTTGCGGAGATTCGCATGATCATGGAAAGGGTGTGATATACCTGTAGCCATTTATACGTAGGCATGGCCATCAATGTACTTAAGCAAATAGAAAATAATATCTATGTTAAATATAGTTTGGTATATTTCAAAAGTGTTTTATAATGTCAAATGTATTTTCTATATATCGTACAGGTTTACATACTCAATAGGGGGCACGGGTGGCCCAGTCGTCTAAGGCGCCGTGATTCGCTGTGCAGAGTTGTGTCCCTTGGGCACGCCAGAAACCTATGATTGTGGGTTCGAATCCCGGTTCGCCCCAATTATGTTTCTGGGTTTGTCAGCACCATACCCGTGCTCGTGGGTTTCACCGAAGTGATAAACGTCTGAGACCTGCAACACTTCGGGCTTTCCTCCCACATTAAGCTGACACGACGCGATATAACCGTAATAAAGCGGCGTTAAACACAACATACTCATACTCAATAACTTCACCATGTTTCATTTATTTCAGACAAACATGGTTTGATGTCCCTCATGAACAAAGTGTGTGATGCAGCCTCAGAGTCCATTGGGAAGAAGGAACTGCTGCAATATTTTAAACAGAAAGCGGAAGCTTTAGAGAGTGAAACTTGCAAGACATGTCCGACACGGAAGGAAACTACGACCCTTCAGTGTGGGCACACTATCTGCGAAGCCTGTCTTTTCGTCAAAGAACAACGGATGTGTCCCGTGTGCAAAACCGGAAACATGCCGCCTGGAGAAATGATTACAACAGTCATCCCTGACGAGCTGCCAGGCAACAGGTTACATGACACCATTGAGATAAAATACGTATTTCAGGACGGAATTCAAACTGTGAGTCATCTTGTTTAAAAATGATAATAAACACACTTTAAGTGTTCAAGAAGGTTACAAGTGAACTTAGAAAATGTTCATTCTGGCGACGGACAATTTAGTTGATGACGATAATGTCGATCATGAAAATTATCTGTTTTGTACTTTGGAAATACTGTTTTATGTAGCGGCTGGGAGGGGTATATTCCAAATATCGGCGGATCTCTTATGTTGGCACTTTTATGGTGTTATGTTCATAACGTTTTAACACTTCAGGATTGCTCGATACAGTTCGCACGTAGGTCATGGAGATTTCCAAACAAAGTTTCAAAGGTCAAACTTATGTCTTGAAGCATATATATAATTCACCCGCACCATTGTTTGCTGACAGTCTCTCACGTAATCAGCATCATCACAAGACAAAAGTTGAACGAGTATTTATTTTATTATAATATCATGTAAATAACGTATCAAAACAAACAAATGCAATAAATAAAAATCAATTTGAAACATTGTTTATCGGGGTTTTTATGTATTCGGAACGCTAGGGGAAAAGATAGAAGTAAGCATCGGGTTTTTAAAATATTTTTAAAAATTCATATAAGTGAGTTTAAATAGGGTTTAATGTCTCGTCCAAGATTATTGTATATAGTGACATGCATGCACGTCTCTCTCTCTCTCTCTCTCTCTCTCTCTCTCTCTGTGTGTGTGTGTGTGTGTGTGTGTGTGTGTGTGTGTGTGTGTGTGTGTGTGTGGTACCATGCCGCAGTTTAACATGAATACCACACTCAGACACAGTATACTGACTCCCAACGGTCCAGTCATTGTTTAAGCCCCTTAATGCCGAGCGCTAGGCAGGGTTACAACAAGTATAATCTTTTAACGTCTTTTGGTATGACGCGGCCGGGGATAGAACCCAGACGGACGCTCTACCAGTAGACCAAATTTATACAGGAAACAAACTGCATCTAATCTAGATAACAGTATGAACGCCATTTTTGTGTAACAGGAGGGACACCCAAAACCTGGAACCGAGTATCATGGTGAAACATTCACTGCCTACCTGCCCAACACTTCCGAGGGGCAGAAGGTGCTGGCTTTGCTGAAGGTCGCCTGGAAGAGGAAACTGACCTTCCAGATTTACCACGACCCTCTTGGACTCTATTTGCTGAAATACTGCATCCATCACAAGAAGATGAAAGTCGTAAATACTAAGTAAACACATTTTTTGTTGAATATACATGTCACTGTCATCTCGAGATGTTTCGAGTCCTGTGGGTTGTAACTGTTATAGAGTGTATCAGATTCAAGACTTTTGTAAAACTTGGTTTATGCGTTCGAAACTAGTATATACTTCAGTTCAAACCTCGTGTGCACTTGCATTTAAGATAGAGTATCGAACCATATGGCAGTTGCCAGTTCTCGGTCCTTTATTGTTCTGCTGTGCATGTTTCTATCTCATCCATACACTCATCCACACTACTGTTCAAACACTGGCAATTAAACTTCATAGTAAATGACTGAATGAATATTATCAACAAGATACCTGCTCTTTGACGGCGGCCTGTAATTAATGTTTTCTGGGCCAGGAAAAGCAGTTGTACATCGTACACCGCGTTAGGCTGACTCACAATATAACCAAAGTCACACAAATCCTAGTCTTTAAAATCTTCCGAAAACGTGTCAGGTGAGGTTAAATGGGATACATGAATGCATGCGTGCGTGCGTGCGTGCGTGCGTGCGTGCGTGCGTGCGTGCGTGCGTGCGTGTGTGTGTGTGTTTGTGTCCGGACTAAAGCTAGCCCACTGAGATACCCCGCCGCAGTTTAACGTGGATACCTTACTCAGACGAAATAATGTGGATCTAGAGACCTTTTATACCCCGACAGCATCAGAACAGGAACTCGTGATCTTGTCTCCTTTAAATATTTAATAACTTTTTGAAGGCAAGGAAAGGAAGCTACAGATCGGACGGATGTTAATAGGTGCTTATTATTTTTCATGTTCCAAAGTACTGATGACAGTTATCCTGATCGCAACTACCTTGGAGGAGTCCAAATGAAACTGGCTGAACTGGGGGTTACAGAAGATAGTCTCAAGTAGTTACAGAGTATTCCCTCAAGTACTTACAGAAGCAGATTGGTTCGCGGACCGAAGGTAAGGTGTATATTAAGCTGTCTCGAAGGAGAGTTCACCAGAACTTTGTACTGATGGATAAGGTCGAGCCTGCAATTGGGCAACATCATGCCAGAGCCACCATCATGGGAAGTATGTTTCACCGGACTGACTTGATATGTTTGACTGTACCCAGATGGTCTAATCATGTTTGTCGAAATAATGTGTTTTATTTTCCAATTATCAACATATGACCTTCTTTGTGCACGAGACGACATCATACACAGGAAGACATGTGTTGTTAACAGAACTGTCACGAAGTGAGTGCTGGGTGCTGTTCAGCTGGAGCAGAAGAAGCAGGAACAATATGAACAGGATGTGCACACAGATCCAGCAACAGCCCAACATGGTACAATATGTTTGGTGTATCATAATATGTCTTGCAGACTGGGCGAGGTCGAAATGACATATATCTGTCATTGTATTGTGAATGAATGAATGAATGAATGAATGAATGAATGAATGAATATCCTCCAGAAATTACATCATTCTCTATTATTTCTAAGAGCAAATGCATAGTTCTAGTATTTACATAAATATGTGCATAATAACATAAATAATTCCACCATATCCTCATTTGTAGTTCATATTAACTTCACATTTACTATCAACTAGCTTCAAGGGTGATACTACATGATCCTTATTAGTTTTGTAAAGCCAATGACATTTTCAGATGATTTCTTGTCGGAAACCGGTACCATAATGTTTCATATGTTCATATTGTCAACTACTGCGTAAATATGTGCTTGATGAGACATGTTGCAATGCATTTAATCATTTTCATGCATGTTATTAATAAATCCTGTTCCCTGTTTTTCATGATGATTATGCGTATGTTAACATGTGTTTATCATTCAAACACAAATTGCCTCTGCGCTGTGGTCTTTTTATTCAAAATTCCAATTTTAAGTTATTCATAAATCTACCGGATGGACAGAAGGAATCGGCCGTGAACGCCACGCGGGTAATGCACGTGCAGCATATCAACAACAATAATGATATTTTGTGCCATAATTAATTCAAGCTATTTTTGTAAAACAATATAATCACAACATAGTTACTGTAGATTATTTTGAGTTGATTTAAATATGAATGAATATTGTCAACTGATATAATAGAAATGATGAGTATATTCTTGTATTTTGTATTTTTCTGTCTGATACATTATTTTTAAATTTTCAGAAGGATAATGTATTATTCTCTGCTTGATGAGGATTTAATTGTCCATGTACTCAGAACAAGTTTACGAAAGTTAACTAAAGGGACATTCACGCTGTGCAACTAGTTGGTACAACTTGTATGCAATTAGTCGTATGCATTAAGTTGTACAACTCGGATCTCGCGAGATCTCTGACCAAAAGCTTGTGATTCGCTACATTACCGCTGGAATCCTGTTAATTTTCAAACCTACAGTTTTGAAATATTAAGGCTGTGCGAGAATTGCGGTTGCTCGGTACTGGGCCAACCTGTGACTTTGCAAAATAACGGAGTTGTATATTATTGAATATTTAACTTGTCGCATGAAAATAGAGCATGTCCTATTTCGTACAACTCACGTCCAAAATGTTGCACACGTCAAAAGTTGGACCGACTTGCCTGTTTACACGATGCAATGAGTTGCATGCAACAAATTGTATACAACTAGTTGTACTGTGTGAATGCCCCTTATATAAATTAAGCCAGCTCTATCACGAAGACGGACACATCAACAGAAATGCATTGTTATATTTCACACGGTCATGACACTCGCGAGTTCAGGGTTATATCCAATTCGCTTTATTCTTAGCGTGACCCGGAAGTATATTATCTCGACTATATTAACTATCTCACAACGGATTTTGTTTCATTGTTTATTGTTTAACGCCACATTTAGAAATAACCCAGTTCATCACAGCAATCTGTAAATCATGGAATCCCGGCCAGGGCAACGAGGGTCTACAGCATCAGCAACGTCCCAAACCGTCAGTGTCAGTCGTTATCTCAGTGTGACGCTGAAAGTAAAAATATGTATGAAATAATGTAAGTGACATTCTCGCGATCTCGACCTTTAGAAACGAGCTAAATATGCCCAAAGTTCCGGAATGCGAGATCGCGAATGTGCCATTTTGGTGCTGGATGAAATGGAAGTACCAATGAATGCAAACAATATATTTTCAAGAACTTTCATGTTTTCGCCATGACAGTATTGTTTACATGCAGCGTGTACACATATCACCACCACCGTTTAACATTGATTTTACGCCCGCTTCAGTCTGACACCAACACAACAAATCCCCTGTGTTGTTCGAGAGATTTATGAATAAAATCATACTAGACAAACCAAGGCAGCCTAGTTAAGGTTTAAATTATTTTAAATGCAAGTACTTCAGTACGAACCTCATTTCTTTTCTGCAAAGCTTCCATAGTGAGGTAATTAATGATAAAATGACTTTTGATAAAATATAATTTGTAGACAATATTCTTATCTGCATGTGACATTTAACATGCCCGATAAAAATATAAACAACATCGTTATTACTTGCATAAAAGTTGAAATATATACTCACCGACAAAAGAAACATGAATACCATATTTGTTGGTTGATATGTGAAAAATTACTCATATTCAAGAAATATTAGATTGGTTCGATGCACGAACGAACACACTGGTATGTTGTATGAACCGACACTCATGAACACATTACATGTGACATCATAGATCCATGATTCGAGATGCACCATTTGTCTCGTGCACGGTTAGCCTGTAAAGTTTGGAAATCGCGTGCAGCATATCATGATAAGAATAAAGACACTGTGGTAACACTGGACGGGTTGTTAGTTTGGTCAAAAGATGGTACTTGTTGTTACGCCGTCTGATGCTCGGCATTGAGGGACTAAAACAAGGACTGGTCGGCTCGCAGTCAGTATACTGTGTCTGAATGGGGTATTAATGTTAAACTGCGGCATAGTATCTCAGTGGACTAGCGCTATAAAATCGGCATCAGTCCGGACTAGTACAAGCAGCCACACACGCACGCGCGCGCACGCACGCACACGCACACACACACACACACACACACACACACACACACACACACACACACACACACACACACACACACACACACACACACACACACACAAACACGCACATGCACACGCACACACACACACACGCAGGCACGCACGCACGCGCGCGTACATAGGTACACACACACGTGTATGCACGTCGCTAAAATAATCGGGAATAATGATTAAATATTAAATTTCAATACTTACACGGCAATGAATACAAGGTACCCAACAATATCTGCTGTTTGTTATTTTTATTTCCATCACTGGACAATGTTGTTTAAGAAATTATCATGCTGTTTTGTGTACAAGCTGACATCTTGACCGGGGAGGGTCACAACGGAGGCACAGCGCAAACTGTTAGGATTTTCGGATTAGGTTTCCCAAACATTTGACAGACATGGTATGCTTTGCAAAATTCAGCCACATAATGCCTTAAATTAGACCAAGGAAAATGATATTAACTTCATATTGTTCAAGAAGATCCAAAAAGAACCATGGAGATGTGACATGGTGCTCAGTTCCAGTACTGACGCCGTACCCCACGACTTTTCAAAGGTTACCGTCTACAGCATTGTCGACGGTTGTTGATAAACTGCTGTTGATGACAGTGCTCATCCACGCTGGTTTGTTCAAGGCAAGGTTAAGAATACAGTATATATAAACTGAAACAGAATAATTAATGTATACATACGGGAAATGAGATAAACTCATCCCCATATTCACTCTTCATACACTCTTATCTTATGATACACTCTTATTATGATACTTATCTCCCCTTCAATCTTAGCACTAATTAACAGCTGCGCCTCTCACTTCTCAACCCAACCCGGAAATACCAAACATCAAATCATTCCAAGCCCGTTTATACAACTCCTTCACCATTAACCAACGCCTTTACGTCAAACCACACGAAATTCACTCCTACCATTCCTCTGAACCTACTGTAAAATCAGCAGAACTAGGACCACAATCAAAGGAAATCTCCGTTGTACGATTCCAACTATACCAGAAGCATCTGTTTATAAAATTCCTATAATATTAGTGATGATACCAGGTGTTCGCGTGAAGCTGAGCGTAGCCTGCCCCACAGGTGGCACCTCGTCACAAACCTATGCAAAGACAAGGTAGTTGTTCACCTTAACCACTCACGGGAACATATGCCACGTGTCAAGACACTGACATTAGGTTGGCAATTAATGCGCTGAATTTGAAAGACAGGGTAATTGGTCACCTTGACCACACACGGGAACTTAATTCACGTGTCAAGACACTGACAACAGGTTGGCAATTAATGCGCTGAATTTGAAAGACAGGGTAATTGGTCACATTGACCACACACGGGAACATATCCCACGTGTCAAGACACTGACATCAGGTTGGCAATTAATGCGCTGAATTTGAAAGACAGGGTAATTGTTCACATTGACCACACACGGGAACATATCCCACGTGTCAAGACACTGACATCAGGTTGGCAATGAATGCGCTGAATTTGAAGGACAGGGTAATTGGTCACATTGACCACACACGGGAACATATGCCACGTGTCAAGACACTGACATCAGGTTGGCAATTAATGCGCTGAATTTGAAAGACAGGGTAATTGTTCACATTGACCACACACGGGAACATGTGCCACGTGTCAAGACACTGACATCAGGTTGGCAATTAATGCGCTGAATTTGAAAGACAGGGTAATTGTTCACATTGACCACACACGGGAACATATGCCACGTGTCAAGACACTGACATTAGGTTGGCAATGAATGCGCTGAATTTGAAAGACAGGGTAATTGGTCACCTTGACTACACACGGGAACATATGCCACATGTCAAGACACTGACATCAGGTTGGCAATTAATGCGCTGAATTTGAAAGACAGGGTAATTGGTCACCTTGACCACACACGGGAACATATGCCACGTGTCAAGACACTGACATCAGGTTGGCAATTAATGCGCTGAATTTGAAAGACAGGGTAATTGGTCACCTTGACTACACACGGGAACATATGCCACATGTCAAGACACTGACATCAGGTTGGCAATTAATGCGCTGAATTTGAAAGACAGGGTAATTGTTCACCTTGACCACACACGGGAACATATGCCACGTGTCAAGACACTGACATCAGGTTGGCAATTAATGCGCTGAATTTGAAAGACAAGGTAATTGTTCACCTTGACCACACACGGGAACATTTGCCACGTGTCAAGACACTGACATCAGGTTTGCAATTAATGCGCTGAATTTGAAAGACAGGGTAGTTGTTCACATTGACCACACACAGGAACATATGCCACGTGTCAAGACACTGACATCAGGTTGGCAATTGATTCGCTGAATGGTGTCTGTAGAAATACTAGTAAGACAAAGGACACTCGTTTCATCATAATGGAAATATAAAACGCGCGAAAATAACCAGTTAAATAGCCGATAAAGCAGCCAAATTATCCCTTAAACTCCCAGAAATAAGCTTAAACCTACCTATCTCAAAATCAGAAATTAAAAGTGCAACTAAACGAAAAATCACAAAAATGGCAAAATATATACCTAAACTCAATAGCCAAATAAAAAAGTTCTTAAAAACCCCTAACTAAACCAAAAAATACTACACCCATCCACAAAAATCGATAGAATAATCACTAAACTACAAACAGGCTACACCAAACTAAATAACCACCTCAAAATAGCTAAACTACACGCGACAGGAACCTGCCCACACTGCAAACAACAAGAAACACCAGAACACGTACTCATTCACTGCACACA